TATATATATATAAGAAATTGATATCATATTTATATATGATTTATATTATGTAAATATATATTTAATATATTTCTTAAATCTTGGATGCAATTAATCACGATTAATCGATTTGACAGCCCTACAATATATTTATAATATCAATAATATAAATAAAACAAACAATATAATAACAACAATAAAATGTTTTAATGTTGAATATATTTTATATTAAAGCATAACATAACAGTGATGTTAAAGTAAAAAATTAGTAGAATTAAAGGCTACTTACAAAAATGGTTTCCTGGTCCAGGGAACCATCTTCCAATGTAGGCCGCCATCAACCCTGGATTAATTCCGATCTGTATCATAAAAATAAGATTTCAGTCGTGAGTTCAATGACATCTTTGCTTTAACAGTCTTCATTGTTAAAAGGCAACTTCAGGCAAAACCATAAAAACTTACAATGACATAGTCCAGATTGGGGGTAAGAATGTCAGGCAGTGTTTTCTTCATGACTTCCTCCTCTGACATGCCCTTAAAGCGATCGACTTTCCTCTTGACTTTCTTGAATGTTCCATCAATCTTCTCCTGTCCTTCAGCTGGCAGGGCCTCCTTATCCTCTTTAGCTTTCTTGGGTTTAGGTCCCGGTTTGGCTTTAGGTTCGCCTTTGGCTTTAGGTTCTTTGCTCGCTGGCCTTCCTCGCTTTCCTTTAGCAGGTGCTTAAACAGGGAAAAAACACTGACTCACTAAAAGCTACATGAGAGAACATATTCAGCCTGCTGAGCTCAATTCTAATGTTTAAAAATATAAGTACCTTTCTGTGCAGCTGCAGGCTCCAGTTGGGCAGCATCATCTAGGTGTGCAGGCATCTGCTGCATGCCTCCATCTTCTCTGGGTCCCTCCATCATAAAACCAGCATTGCCATTAGCCATGTGAGGATACTGAGCCTGAAGGGCCTGCAGATGCTGCTGAGCTGACTGAACCCTAGTTCAAAAATAAAACAGGGCCTGACTGAGTTGTCAGTCCAACTTAGACTTCTGTAGAAAAACACCTATCTTAAAAGCACATATTTAACAGCATTTAACAGGAAACAATGGTGTTTACAGGTAAAGTAACTTATTTATGGTATTGTTTGCATAATTATTCCTTCACTCAACAAGAAAAACATTTAACAGTTAGATAATACAAAAAGATGAAAATGCATTTGCGATTATTAGATTGCAGTTTTACCTTTGCATAAATATAATGGGATACTATTATTAATTATGTATTAATTATAGTTCATTATAAAACTATAATATTTTATAACTACAATAGTTTTAAATAAAAATGAAAATGTAAAACTAAAATAAATATATTGTTGAATAATTACAAATAATTTGAACATATCAGTTAACGGACACTTAAAGGCACAATATGTAATTTTTCGCTGCTAGGGGGCACGTATTCAAAATAAACAAAGAGGCAAAGGCATAGTTTGATGAAGCTGTGACTGAGTGTGGAATCATGGGAGTTGTGGTCTTCATCCCCACAGCCGAAGCAATCCGACGGGACTCGGGCAGAAATCATGTTCATGGATGAGCTAATGATTTATTAACGTAGTAGAATGAAGCAGAGTAAGACCGAAAGCCGTCGAAGCGAAACGAGGCTGCTGAACGAGCGTGACACACGGCTCGAAAGCAGCAGAGCTTTTATTATGCCACAGTCGACCGCTTCCACTCCTTCCGGTCGTGCGTATGTGGGGGGAAAAAAGCAGCGCTGTTCTATCACACTAGATACATTTGAAAGTTCTGTTATAATGCTACTCTGTGCGGTCGTCACCGGTCTAATAAAACGCACAACATATTAAAGCGTCTTTGGTGTTTCCATGTTTTCTACAAAACAAAACTTATGACGTCATTGGCAGGCGACACAATGACACTATGGACACGCTCCGTGTCACTAGTTAAAATTGCTTATTTCTCTGGATTTAAACATTCTTCGAAACATTTGGGATAATGTAGGTACACAAGTCAGCAAAATATATAACACTGTTCTAGTGGTTTTTGGATATTCTAATAAACATTTTTTTTTACATATTGTGCCTTTAAGTCTTATTTAACAAGAAACACTTAGAAGTTCACAGTTAGACAGCACAAAACAAAGACGAAAACACATTTGCAAACATTTTGATTTTAAACCTTTGCATAAATATAACGGCATAATAATAATAATGTATTAATTATAGTTGATAAACCATAATTGATTTATAAAATGAAAATGATTGATTTTAAAATTTAATATACGAATATAAAAAATAGTGGTTTTTGTATTTCTATTTTTTTAAATTAATATAATAGTTTAATCACTAGAAAACATTTCTACATGTCAGTTAACAGAAACTCAAGTCTTACTCAACAAGAAACACGCAGCATTTAAGAGTGGGCCAACATAAAACATTTGCAACCATTTAGATTGCAACGCTTATATAATGCCATAATAATAGTAATTATGTATTATTTATAGTTAATTATAAACTATACTATTTTTGTAATTACTATGAAACTAGTAATATTTCTAAAATAAATGTATACAATTAAAATACACATTAAATACAGTTTAATAACAAGAAATTACATCTACACATCAGTTAACTGACACTTCAACACAATAACAGCATCTACTTTACATTGGAGATTGTCTTATGTAAAGCAGGTGCAACTTCCGTAAAGTGATATTGAGTTCAACTATATCATTTGAGAAGTCAAGTCATTAATGCAACCCAGATCTTATTTTTTGCTGTAAAAAGAACATTTAATAATTGCAGGAACACATCAGTTTTCAAAACAAACACAAGTGGCAAGACCAAGGCAGTTTCTTCTTCATGTAAGCTGGACAATAACTTGTTATTGTTGTTTATTTCGTGCATGGCGGTACAGACTAGTTAGTAGCATTCCAAAACAGACTTAAATGCTGAATGTTATTAAAACAGCATAATAAAATCAGTGGGATCGTAATTAATCTAGGCGCCAATTGACGACATATGGGGCCACTCACCATTGTTGGAGGTATTCCGAGGGGGCATGAGGCAAAGATCCATAGAGCCTTTCATCCATCTCTACGGGATTTAACGTTACTTAAATAAATCAATATTTGTGTTCATTTCAAAAGCAATTTCAGTGGTATTCTCACAGGGGAATATTTAGAACCAACCCTTTTACTTATAGATTATTTTATAGTTCTATAATGAATAGGTTCAATTACACATAAATGCATTCCTAAATTTAGTGAATATCGAAACATATCCAGCCGGGTCTGGCTAAAGTGTATAAACCAGATCAGAAAAGGTTCGGTGTGCTGGATTTTAAACACACATTCCACACTAAGTTACTATTTTGCCACAGTCGGTAGTTTAAACTGCGGTACTCAGCAAACTAAACTAAATTGAGTAATTACATATGAACTCAGCAGGACAAATGCAGGTAACGTTAAAGGGCTAAGATCCTTTTTTTTCATAAACAAAAAAACAACAACAACATATGTTCTAGTGTTAGCATGTTCGGCTAACACTGGCCTAGTGTGCTAATTCATTAAGTACAATGAATGCTGGTCGCTAGCTAACTGTGCAGCGCGCTTCTATCGACATAAAATGCACTTCCATAGTGTTATTAATCAAATCAAGCTCTTATTTGTCAAATGAATACATACCGTTGTGATATGATTAGAACGATAGTCCACTGGAATGTTGATTTTTCTCGTTTTAGGAACAAAACCGGTGAAAGCAACAAAGATGAGACCAACAGCGAGAAATCGCTTTGACAGTGGAGCGTACCAAAGCACCAATACTAGGGGTGTGTTGGGCACAGTATGCCTTTTTCTTCCGTTAAATGTAAAAATAAAAACAAAGAAATCATCATTTAAGTTTTACCACAATTATATCTAATGTAAAAACTAAAAACGTACTGCAGGCTTTTAGTTTGATCTTAATTTCAGAATGGTGATGAAAAACTGCACCCCTCTTAAGTTAATAGTATGACCGTCGTCGCCTGTGTGACATTTAAACTCTTCAAAGCGTGCTTTCTATTGGCTGCGCTTCAATAAATAAGAAATGCCCATTTCCCGTTTAGCATGTCAAAATAAAGCTTTTAAGTATAAAGTTCTGTATGGCCACTTGCATCTGGTATTTCTGTAAATTAACGCAAAACATTTTTCTTTTTTGATTTCTCAACAACGAAGATTATCGCGGCTTTTATTTCAGACATATTAGAAAGTTTTGTGTTTTAATTTTAATTGTGACAATAACTAATACACATGGCTTTTTTAATATTGCTTTTATTTGGCCCTTAAACCGTTCCATTAGTAATACATAGATACATATAAAAAATAAAACACAGCGTACAAAATGACAAACATAGTACATAATTTTTACAGCAAAAATGAAGCTGGATTATGATGATGTAACAAAACAGGTATAAATGGTACTAAACAGTTATGCACACTGATTGCAAAATAACAAAATTCTAAAAAGTCTAAAAACAGCATTCAAAATGAGGTAAATTGAGTGATCTGTATTCAATAAGCACCATAAGGCGGGACTGAGCATGCCATCTGCAATACTACTATAAATCCATGCACATGCACACAGTGATAAACCTCTGCCAGAGTCCAGCTGTGGTTTCCATTAGGAATTTGCTCCACTGAAATACTCATTGAAATATGTGAGTGTCAAATAATCCCCACAATCACAAAATAACTTCAGTAAATGGAAACTACTTAAACAAAAAGAGTTAACATACATTACTGTTCAAAAGTTTGAATAAGATTTTTTTTTTTAAAAAGAAGTCCCTTATGCTCACCAAGGCTGCATTTGTTTGACCCAAAATACAGTAAAAACAGTAATATTGTGAAATATTATTACAATTTAAAATAACTGTTTTCTATTTGAATATATTTTAAAACGGAATTTATTCCTGTGATGTAAAGCTGAATTTTCTGCATCATTACTCCAGTCTTCAGTGTCACATGATCCTTCAGAAATCATTCTAATATGCAGATTTGCTGCTCAAGTAATACTTCCTATTATTATCAATGTAGACAATGAAAAAACAGTGCTGCTTAACATTTGTGTTCCGCATTTATTTGAAATAGAAATCTTTTTAACATTATACATGTCTTTACTGTCACTTTTAAATCAAATGAATGCATACTTGCTGAATAAAAGGATTAAGTCCTTTAAGAAAAAAAAAAATCTTACTAACCCCAAACCTTTTAACGGTAGTGTATGACTGAAGTTTCCTTAAAAGGATAAAAACAGAGGCACAAGATTAACAAATGTCTCAATCTGAAAGTCTCATGTTTCATGTTCAGTCAAGTTAAGTCAAGTTAACAAATCTTCGTTACACACACACACAAATCACATACATTAAATTATTTGGGTAACAACTCAAATAATCACTCAGAATCAATTGAATCAATCACTCAGAAACAGCCAAAACATTTAAAATATTAAACAAAACAATTTTTAAAAACATTTTAGTTGGTCCTTCTCAGTACATACAACTTTTCTCAGGCTGTTCAGTTGTTGTTGCTACATCTGATGTCTGGAATCTGGTCTGCAAATGGCTGCATTGTCCACCAGTTGTCCGATACCTGGTCTAGAGAGTTTTGATCATTATTACAAGCACCTGACACATAAAAACTGTAAATTGTTCATATTCTTTCTGTACACAATATTTGTATACCCATATTTGTAGAAGGATGGACCCCAAATGCTTGCTGTGGTTCTCTTTGTGATCCATGGGCACAGGTCTCCTCATACTCAGGGTCATGCTGCTCTTCTTTGATTGGCAATTTTTTGGCATCCTCTAGAATAAACAATGACAAAGTATGTTGGTTAACAACATATATTTTGTTATACACAGTCTTCAATTGTGAATCTCTTCACCTTTGGCCAGAGTCAGATCAAATGTGTAGGTTGTCTCTTGGACCTCTTGAGTCCTCACCACTCCCTTCATTTGATCCCTGAGCTCTTTTAACTTGATGAAGAAGTGCACTTTGTCCTGAGCACGAGGAAAATGGGAACAGCGTGGGCTTGATGATGGCATCAGATAGCAAACCTGGACAAAAGAAGCTCATATCTAATCAATATGCAACTATGAACAGGAGCATTAAACTATCAACAAAGATAATCGTACCGTCTCCGTTTCTGGGACTTTGTAAGGCTGCAATCCGAACTCTAAGTTCTTAGCCTTTACTCCAAAAATCTCCTTGCAAAATATTTCATAAATACCTGTAATATCAAACGGGATTAACTTACATCATAAATAAGAGTTTAGACTTAAATCGATAGCAAATCAATGACTTACATTTTCCATTGAACACAGCGATTAAAGGTCTGTATTTCTGGAGCTTTTCCAAAAGCTGGTGGCCACCTTCACGGATCTCTTTGCTGCAAACCAACACTCAAAATATTCACATGTATTCACATCAAGCATCTTCTTGAGACTAAACATCAAATTAGGACATGAAGCTGATTTTTTAGGTGCGGTCACATTAGCGAAATGTCTGCAAAATTTCCATTGTTTCAAACTTTCCCAAAAGGTCCATTGTCTATTGTCAGTGGTGTATTAAAAAAATGAAGCTTTGTTCACACAGAAAATCACTTTCAAACTAAGCAGCTTGAACCTGTTATGTCCTCGCACAAAATGACTGAATTTCATCTGCGAAACTTGCAGAGCAACCATTAATATAACCACACCTTTTACAGGGATAATGTAAATGTTAAGCTCTTACTTTGATAGGTCTTTACTCCCAGGTGTAGTCCTCTCCACCATATTGGTGAAACCAATGCCATACCGTTCAGGTAGTGTCTGATCGTGCACGTGGTTGAGCTGTTCATCAGTCAGCCCGGAAAGAAATAAGCACTTCCCTACGAGACATTCAGCAAACAATAAGACAAACATAAATATATAAATATTTTTCACAAAAAATAAATCAGCTGAATAATACATACAAAAATGGTTCCCAGGATTTGGATAATGCCTTCCCTTGTAGGCTGACAACAGTCCAGGATTGATGCCGATCTGTAAAATTAGCAATGACTTTATACAAACAAACCAACAGATAAATATAAATATATACAAATTTGCATAAAAATGTCATACAATAAATATATATATAATAAATATTAATGATATCATTTATTCATATGTATTAACTTGTATCAATATTAAAATTCATATAATTTATTAATATATACATTTAAAAAAACTTGCTGACTATACAAAACAGAATCTTACAATCAGCATGTCAAGATTATGTGTGATGACGTCTGGCAGCTTTCTAGCCATGACTTCCTCCACGGACATCCCGTTGAACCGATTTAACATCCTCTTCGCTTTCTTGGCAGACTCTTCAGCTTCTGTCTTTTCCTTTCCTTCACCTTTTAGAGGCCTTCCCCTTTTCTTTCCTTTTGCTGGAGTTATTGGAAGGGCTGCAAAACAGATGTTTAATAAGTTGCAGAAACATCCCAGTTAGACGCACCGTGAGGATGGAAAAGGTTGAACCTGGTGGTTGGGCAGAGAGTTGCTGAGGCTGTTGAGGTTGTTCCAGATATGGATCTTGATGCACTGCTAAATCAGTCATGATTTTGTCCTCCACAGGTCTCTCTGCGTATTGGGCGGCATTAATCATCTGTTGGTGCTGCGGCACCTGCTCTGCCTGG